GTACCGAAAGAGTTGGTGTTGAAGCTCTGGGAAGTACCACTGGTAAGCGAGACAAACAACCCTTCAACATCACTGACGGCACCGGTAACAAGGCCCTCGGCCCAGGACACCAAACCCGCTTCTGGTTCAGCAACAGCGACGGCGTTGGCCTTGGCATCGGCCAATGGCGCGGCAAAAGCGGTGGAGACCAAGATGGTCGCAAGGGTGATGTTAGAGAATCTCATTATTAGTTGTTTATTTGATGGTGTATAAGATGAGAAAATAAATGAGAAAATAACTCCAAGAGGAGGATTTGACCGATATTTATATTATTCTGAGCAGCAATCTCACTTGCTGATTCCCAATGGCAGCAAGTATATTGATTATAATCGTGAACCTTCTAAACAATAATACATATTCAACACAGGCAATTCGTAGTTGGTTATTGTTTGATTGGGGTGTGCCAAGACTTCTTTCAACTAGTTGCATGCACCTTATCACGGGCGAGCCGCTTTGGGATAGAAAAGGCCGAATAGGCAGGTGAAATCCTCTTCTACTAGGGCCCTACAGTGTACCCAAGTCTGGAGTATCCTGGCCTACTCAAGGAATGCAGGGCAGACCCCTTTAATTGTCTTGGCGGAAAGCCATACATGCATTCTCCGTTCAGGAAATGACCACCATGGTTGTTATTGAATACACTGTTTGACGCATCCTTGCCTTGACCCTGTTTCAGACACACGCCAGAGAGGGATGTATTAGGAAGTGGTCGCATGATATTCGTATACCAAACTAGCGCCCATTGCAGGTAATGTCTGCTTCAGACGACGTAAGCCGGCTCTCATATAACCAACCGTTTTTGTCTGTTAGACTATATATCTACTTACGTAGTTGTTAGTTTATTCTATACCAAGATATACTCCCTTTGTGGTATATCTAGTGGGTAATAGTGGATACTGTTAGCTAGCTAAAAGAGAATCCTTTTCTATGTAAGATATCTAAAAGAGAAGGGTAGTCGGCGGCCTTATATACTGAGGCGGATACCATGACAGGGTGTCCGGTTATCGGAGGTGAAAGGACAATAGGCTCCGACTCCCGTCTAGTTGAATGGCACCTTTACTACACCCTTCCCAATTCTTGCAAATCATACCTTCGAGGTGGCTCGTGAGATGCATCTATTGGCCATAAATAAGCATTGCCAAGTCAATCTTTTTGACATTGCCAAGTACTTGGCTCAGTTTCCTTAGTACGCAGGACATGTTGATCTTTTGCCCATTCGTCTCAAATCAGCTAGATGGCAAAGGACAGTCGCCAACCTGCGTCTCGTTTGCGCAGGTGCATAACTAGTTTGTGCGCCTCGAAAAACCCTGGGATAAATGTTTGAGGTAAGTGCCTGCATACAGACTTACTATCTGAGTTACGATACAGCTTAGTATTGAATGTCATATCGTTTTATCCACGCTTATTGCCGGTTAATACTGTCTCCATATTTGATAATATTTCCATACTTAATAATATTACTACACTTAATAATATTTCCATACTTGATAATAGAGCATGTTTAGCTGTGGGCTTGTATATGCCGACGCAGTGGAGCCGCATCTTCTACACACCTAAGGCGGGATAAATCAGCGGTCCCTCTTCTGAAAAACACTTCAGTGCTTGTCGGTTTACATGTGCCACTAGATGGCTTTATGAACCAGTATTTGAAGGGGGCTAGAACGGGGTTCGGGTAGCAAGAGCCTGTGTGCATAAACCCGCCGGCTGCAAATTGGCTGACTCAAGAATTCCATCACCCGATCTAACATCTTCATTAATTCCGTGGGACACTCTGTGTGGTGTATCTCTACCTCAAGGGTAGAATATCTACTTATAGTAATAGTAATACTGGTATTCTATATAATGTATATAGGATAAAGGAGGGAAGGATCGACCTCCTTATAAATACCTGACTCAGGACTTGATAATCACCCACTTCAATAAGGAAAACGACACCCTAAAAATTGTTTTACCAATTGCACAACACATAATACATTCAATATTAGATAAGTAAATAAAAAAAATACCAACAATCTGCCATTTTTATGGCATGTGACTTGGAAAATAAGAATTAAGGTCAAGAAAAACGCGATAATGAACCGTTCAGGGATATATTTAGTTGCAACAATTGCCAGCTAGAACTTAAAAGATCTTGGCAGAGTCAATCTGTTGCAAAACACCGTTGATAGCAGCAACATTGGTATCAGAAACCTTACCCAGGTGGCAAATGTTACCATAGTTGACCAAGATCTTACCAAAGCCAGCACTGCTGTACTTCTTACCAATAGACCAAGTAGGAACAGAGCCCTGGGTAAGCACCTGGAGCTGAGTAGTACTCTTCATGAGGGTTTGCAAGCTGGAGGCAGACAACTTCTTGTTAGACTTGGCCGAGTTACCCCAGGAAACCAATTGCGTACCAATGTCACTGACAGAGGACTTGGTGATAGTTGGTAGAGCGTATTTAGTGAGCTTGGCGTAAGAGTCACTAAGGGCGTTCCAGTCGAGGTTCTGCACGTAACACTGGCAGATACACTGGATATAGGCGATACAGTCATCCAAGACATCTTTACCGTATCCAATGCTACCGTCATCGCTGTCCAAGTTGGCCAGCTTCACCCAGCCTATCTCCACTGATATTACTTCATCTGCTCTTATAATTACTTTGCATGACACCATTAATTCTAATCTATCTTCCTCACCTTATTCAATCCTGCTCTCTCTTCTCTAGCTTGAATGATTGAGGCCAGTGCCTACATATGGCCACTACCGGTTACTATGCAACATATGATGTAGCTTACTATGCATCCCTACTATGCAACATACTATGCAGCTTACTATGCATCCCTACCCTGTAGCCTACCTCGAGACTACTGTGCCCGGCGTATATCAACCAATATTGTGCTATTCATATTAAATACCAAGCATCCATGTGGAGTAGTATTGCAGCTACCGACATCACTAGATGAGTCAGGATTTTGCCACCCACCACGTGATCTTGGGAATGCAGGGCTATCTGGTTTGTTTGGATACGTTAATGTGGTACGAAATGCATGGCGAGCAAACTCCCCGCACTGATGGACCAGAGCCCTGACAAACCCCGCTGCCTGTGTTGCGTCCATCGCATCAGCTTCACTCTAACTAAGCCCCTAACACCAGCTAGCCAAATCCCTCGCAAACCCCACTAACCAGATTCTATAAGGCTCAGAGTATCTACTCCACGCTGTACAAACTTGTTGACCCCACACCTCCTTCGCTACTCTCACCTTTCACTACCCCCTCGCCAACATGGATACGCACGAAATTCCTCTATTTGGTGGTATCCTTCCGTTGGAGATTGTCGAAAAGATCGTCTCCTATCTACCACTTTCCACAGTCGCCGATGTGATGAACCCGGAGAATGCGAGTCTCGCTTTGGTGGCTCGGAGACGCTACTACTCGAAAATTGAATTGATGTTCTGCGAACTGCCATCCGAATATAATTCATATATATATATAATGATGCCCTCACTATGGCTATCTCTGAATTTGAAGCTTTGGTAAACAGCGATACGTTTGACCAGCTTTGCATTAAGAAGCTCTTGATAGAGGTAGATACAGAAATTGGTGAAAACGTCGATGAGTTTACATTCCTCCACGAACAAGTGTTCACCAAAGTGTCTTCAGTTGTTTCCAATGTTGTTCTAGAGTTTGTAACGAATTCTGAATACTATACGGTATTTAGCTGGGGCTGGTTGCCGTCTTCTCCACTAATTCAGGAGTGCATCCGAGAAATATCCGTTTCGCATGCTTATATTGATCCGGACGTGCCATCTTTGCCCCCCAACTTACGCAAACTTGACCTTCAGCATTATTACCGATATGACTTTGATGATGATCCTATTTCTCCAAGGATTGTCTTTCCACCGTTTCTCCAAGAATTTTATTCGATGATTCCCTGGGGATCAATGTCGGCGTACGCCGGCCTTCCTTCAACCTTGCAGAGATTGAAGTTACGGAATGTCGAGGGCTTTTCTACTGAGGCTTTCAATGAGTTAAACTTACCCAATTTAAAAGATTTACATTTGGTACACGTGCCTGGCATGACAGAGATCGACGACCTATTTGAGTTACCCCCTCTGTTGGAGATTTTGGAACTTGAGGGTCTAAAAATCACTAACTTCGAACAACAGAAATTACCTCTGGTATTGAAGAAGCTATCCATCACCTGGTGTCCTTTAGAGAAGTTTTGCGTTGATACGTTTCCGGATTCCCTTAAAGAATTGATCTTAAACCACACGAGTCTTTCATCATCTGAGATTTGCATTATCAAGTTTCCTCCGAGCTTGGTTTCTTTACTGGTTGAGAACACCCTGTTAACATCGCTAGATTTTGTCAACTTACTACCGGGGTCTTTAGAAATCCTCAGCCTCGCTCATAACTCCTTTGGTCGTTTAAATGAAACAGATGAAGACACAGACATTTCCAGGACATGCCAAATCAAGTTCCCAGAGAACCTCCTGATTCTTGATCTCCTGACCAACCCTTCGTTATTTATCCTGTACTCGCCAAGAAACCTTGTCTTCCCCCTAAATTTGGCTAGTTTGAATCTCAAGAACACGAATTTGGTTTCAGTTGAAGAGCTCAATCTTCCACCAACCTTGACCTCCTTAGATTTGAGCTCCAATAAATTGGTCTCAGTCGACGGGCTCAGTCTTCCACCGGAATTGGCCTCCTTAGACTTGAGCTTCAATAAATTGGTCTCAGTCGAGGGACTCAATATTCCACCGACCTTAACCATTTTAAACTTGAATGGCAATAATATTGAACTGCTTTCGAGACGGCTACCCAACAATATTCAATCTTTGAGCCTTGGGAGTAATCAATTGACTTCGTTGGAAAATGTTGAGTTTCCATCACGCTTAGAAAATTTATTTCTCGGGAAAAATCAAATATCCAGCTTAGTCAATGTCCATTTTCCGAATGGTCTAATTAAGTTGGATCTTTATAATAACAAGGTTACCTCAATCGATGCCGTACAGTTTACTCCAAAATTGAAGGAATTGTGCCTTTCAAGTAACGCTATTAGCGCTATTAACGAGTTACTGTTGCCCGAATCCCTTGAAAGGTTGGACTTGGCGGACCAAAAGTGTGATACTCCACTTTATTGTGTTTCAGGAAACAGCGACTCATCAGAAGGTTCCCATAAATCTAAGAAGGGCTTATCGAGCCTCTCTGGGTTAACCAAACTTCCGTCAAAGTTGAGATATTTAGGTCTAGAGGAGAACAGTTTGTCCGAGGAGGCCATTAAATGCTTAGAACTCCCAGCCAGCTTGACAGGTTTAAGAATCAGAGATAATACGTTTGACGGTGGTTATATGTGGGAAAGAGAATTAGAGCTAGCACATCCAGGGTTGAACGTTTGGTGAGTTGGGATCGTCTTAGGACAAATTCTTTCTTTTTGGTGCTGACTATGATGTAATGGGTAGCAAATGTGAGGCATTGGTGTAAGGGGAAGCATTTTTAGTGGGTGGCTTTAAATGAAGTCATTTATGGAAATCGTTGAATTTATATTGAAGTCCATTGGTTGTACGACGGCGCATCTGCTTTACACTCCGTTTTCACACTCACCTGTACCTTCCCTGTACAGCCGCATAGTATCGGGTTAACTGAAGGACCGATTGTCATTTGGAAACTGTATGCGAGCGGTGTAAAAATGTTTTCGCATGCTTAGCAGAAACATTTCCCTGGTTTGATAGGCCCGCCCTTAACCTTTTTTTAGACCATGAAGCAGTGGTACCCCGCTATTATGGCTCTTTCGATCTCACTCTACTTGTACCTCTGACAGGTATTTTCATATATCCGGTCCAGGTATTAGCCTAATTTGATAACTGTAATTTGGCGCGGCAGTCGTCGTTCTATCCTGTGGCACCTACATGTACTCCACGGTCTGAACCCCATGTCATACAATTTGATTGCAGCTTCTCTGCATATTTATTATTTCTCTACTGGATCAAGACTTTATTTGGACAGACAAGGGTATTATTTTTCATTTATTTTGGTACAAAGACGTGGAAACCGGAAAATACGGCAGTGGGTCCGATAATGTTGGATCGCAAACGCGCTGTCACAGATGCATACGCAAAGTGAAGGCGACACGTTTCGAGCATACAATCCATCTATATTTCAATTGAAGGTGGTATATTTTACAATAATATAGAATACAATTCTATGGGTATATCTAGAAGAGACAAGCTGGCATTCTTAGCACAGATTAACCCATTCAGTTACCGTAACGAATTTTGTTCGTAAGGAAGAGCTTGGAGAAACGGACGCCGGGGAAGAAGAGCTTGGAGCGGCTGAGGATGCTTGAACGGCCGAAGAGCTTGGGGAGGTGGAAGAACTTGGAGCGGAGGAGGGGCTTGGAGAGGTGGAAGAACTTGGAGCGGAAGAGCTCGAAGCGGCGGAGGAGCTTGGGTCAACCATAGAACTTGAAGCGGCGGAGGAGCTTGGATCAGCAGGAGAGCTTGGATCAGCTGAAGGACTTGGATCAGACGAAGAACTTGGATCAATTGAAGAACGTGGATCAGTTGAAGAACTTGGATCAGCGGAAGAACTTGGAGCAGAAGTGCTTGGCACAGAGGAACTTGGAGTCGGAGAGCTTGGAGAGGATGAGCTAGGGGTCGAGGAGCTAGAAGAGGAGGAGCTAGAAGAGAAGGAGCTAGAAGAGGAGGAGCTAGAAGAGGAGGAGCTAGTAGCCGAAGAGCTAGGAGAGGAAGAGCTAGGAGCGGAGGAGCTTGGACACAGAGTAACAGCGTTAATCAACGAGGTGGAAACACTGGGAACTAACGCAGTTTGAGTAACTGTTTGAGTTTGAGTACTGGTAATAGTAGAGTAGAAAGTACCATACCGTGGAATAAAAAGGATAGTAGTCGTTGCTGATGTCCATGTGCTGGTCAGAGTGAGGGTGTAGGTATTCGTTTGAAATAATGTGGTGCTATAAGTGTAAGCTGATTCAAGCACCTTATTAACCACCGTACACCCATTGGACTGAACAGAAGTTATGGTTGCCGTTATGACGCTAGGAGGTGGAGTTGTGCCCGTGCATTGGCCCCAGGTCATACAGTTACCGAGAACTGGGTATCCCAAGGCGATACAGCCCGAAGTAATGGAACTGATAGTACAAGTCAAGCCGTTAATTGGGTTGAGCCAGAAAGCTGAGGACCCCAAAATAACGGTCTGGGGACTTGGCCCACCTGTAAACATCAGAGTGTAGCCGATCAAGGAATTGAAACAGTTGAGCCCATTTGTAAGATCCACACCGAGCACAATTGGATAGGTGACAGTATCGTTATAGGAAAGAATAAAACCACCCTGAGTAGGGTTAACAACCACATTAAGAGTAGTGAGCAAAGAAACAGCGGCAGTCAATGTGCTGATATTAAACCCAGTGGCATCTAACGGGTTGTCAAAGGTGAAGAACCACTGCACGATATACTTGTAGCTCCTTACTCCGGTTCCTAAGATGGCGACATCGTTAGTGGAAGCGGCATAGAAATCGGCCGTAGCGTGCCAGGCACTCGCTCCCAGACCGCCAGAGGTAACATAGGAATTACAGAGGTTTGATGGGGTTGGGTTAGTAATACTGGTGCTGACAGTGGTGATATTGATAGCGGCAGTGGCCACCTGGAATAAGAAGGGGACTAAAAATAATGGAGAGAGCTTCATGGTGGCTGTGATGTTTGAGAAAAACGTCCGAAATAACTGGGGTAATCACCTGTTTTATATATCATTTGGTTAAAAGTTTTAGGAGGCAATTCTAAGGTCACTATTTTTATTATCCCAAGATTGAACCAGTGGAAATGCAGCCTAACGCTAGATAATTATAATCTCATAAAGTAGGGTCTTAAGCAACAGGGTTCACTAGACGACTAGTTATGGACCAGGAGGATAGCTAATCCCTGTTAAACAGGTAGACTCTCTTGCGTATACCCCAGGGACATAGTAGATTGTGAAAATTGATATCACAGAATACATTTTCAATTTAGAGGTCAACGGTGCCGATTCCCACAAAACCAGACGAAATACAAAAGGGCTGTATACCTCTTTGTCTTTAATATATAGCATACTGCTAAGGTCCGTGAAGTTTGTCTTGGTATAGCCTCCAAAAGGAGTAGCAGACCAAATGGTGCGCTGAAAATGTACAGCTGCAGGTCATATGCATATGCAGTGGTGCTGTATTTAGTGCGTGCCTATTTTAGGCGAGATCAATAAGCGATCTTTCGGCTGTAAGTCGCTCCTAGATATGTCGTTTGGCAGTTTGAAAGTACCAAGTAGACAATTAGCCTAGGAATCTGTATTTATAACGAACATGGTTGGAATGAACCACAAGTTGACAGCTGTTTTTATGAAGGTAAAAGGGCTCTTTGATGCGGGGGTATAGGCTAACGGGCGTGCAGTATGCACCTTTCGCTGAATGGATAAATCTGGTAGTCCAACATCTCAAGTCCCAGGGATACAGAAAATTCCTGCACGAGGAACAGATCGGGAAAGCGGAAGAGCCCGTCGCCAAACTGCCACACGGAGATAAGCTAAGTATATACACGCTAACAAACTCTTTACACTTTGACCTGAGACCTCCTTAACCACGCGAGTCAGAAACAGTAACTCTGTGTATTAGCATTTGCATTTATCCACCTGAATTCGTCACCCACATGCATATTTGCCCATTAATTATCAGTACAATCCTTCGTAATCCAGATCGTTGGTCTCGGCTCCATGGGTCCTGCATTTAAAAGGAGTATCTGCACACCACATCACCTGTATGCCAAGAAATAGATACCCGCGAATCTATTACAGTTCTTGTATGGACCATGATAGTAATGTTACGCTTCGAGTGTTTCTGGCTACACCTAATATTGGGGCGGAAATGGTTAGTTACCCAAGCTCTATTTTCAGCCCCTTGGTTCATGCCCATTTAGAGAAAGCATGGTTATCAAAGTGCAGTTTAGCCATGTCGCGAATGGATCACAGTATCGTTTGCCCTGCATTCAACCCCTATAGTTCATTCTGAATTCCGTCCACGATCGATAAGCTCCGCCCTACAAGGCGTGCACATCTCCACCATGCAGATCCAACTAGCCGTTTTTGACTCTTTTAAACCCTGCATCTCGTATCAATCCCTGCACAAGCCTTCACGTGCATGGTTTGGAACTTTCTTTTCCAGGGTCAACTGGAATTTCGTTCCTTGGCAGCGTTAGCGTGAGGTCCAACCCTAGGCGATACTTTAATGCATTATGCTTGTGACATTCTTGCATTACCGTTACGCAGTTGATATTCCGGCTTGCGGGATGTGCCTTCGGTGAGGCATCCAGGCTCTAAACTATTAATTATTGAAGTCTGTCGCCAAAGTGGATATTATACTGTTATAATATATGAAGCTATGCTTTGCAATGATAACATGCAATTTTCTATTTAACCCTAATGTTTACCAGACAAATGATTTTATGGGTGTCGCCTTCGGGGGCAATACTTTATAAATCTTCAGAAGAGTAAAGGATGCCTTACAGCTGCCTAGCTAGGTTCATAGACTCTTGGCAGAAATGTGGTCAGCCCTCAACAATCGGTTTCTCGTTCTAACCCCTTCAGTTTTCACAGCATAAGAGCATGTGATGGGGTCTATTACCGGTAGAACCTTGTCACTGCATACTCAGTAGTTTCTGGAGGGCCAACGCAAAAGTTTATTGTTTTAGCACGCGGCCTTCCACTTGAGCATAACCCAAGTTCCAAAGTTTAGACAGATAGCTACCTCTCTGTCCATACTGTATAAACACCGAAGAGACCTCCCTCACTTCAGATACTTAAAAAAAAAAAAAAAAATCAGGGTAACTCTCTATGGGGCTGTACCCTTTTTGAAGCTGGTGAGCTATGATGGCGCGTAAAATTTGAGACGCCCCAGTGATTCTTGAACCTTAAAGTTTATTGTCGCTACCTGATATGCAATAATAGAAACTTAAACCCAAAGCGCCTTTCCAGACCAAGTGGGCATCAAGCCCGACGACTACTGTAGGGAGTTTACTTGCAGATGTCACCCTGGTTAAGGCTTGCATCACGTTAGTTAAATCATCAAAATTTCCTTGGCTTTTGTCGTCTGCACTAAGTGAATTCTTCATGGTGAGTTTTTAGAAACGGCTGCAGAAAGGACCGGAAAGGTGACCAAGGCTGTCCACTCTGGCAGGCGAAGCATCGGGTTGATAATTGTCCCCCATCTAAGGTTGCTTCGTTGGAATAGATAATGGTACTCTGTTTATACTTTACCGAGGATATGCTGGCCCCTGAAATCTGGATCCAAAACGGCCCATTCGCATAATCCCCACTGACATTGGAGTTTCTGGCGTATCACAATAGAAAGAGCAAGCTACGGCAAGGGTACCGCCTGCATCAATTTTTGAATTAAACCCAGAGCTGGTCGCGGACTACATAATCGTGCAGACCTTTATGGAAAAAATAACGAGGTGGATAAAGGGCTAGTTAGGAGTTTCATCCATTTATAGTTGTCCGTCACCCTTCCCTGATAATTATATTGGTACTCTGAAGTCGATCCCAGTATCCACATCCACGGGTGGGATTTTACGAACTGAGACGTGAATCGGTTTCCGGAGTCATACCAGACCAAACCCTGGTTTCTTCAATCTCTAAGCTCAGCCCACGCGTCTCTTCTCCAAATGACAGCTCTCAGTGTTAAGGCCAAAACAAGTTTGAAGCTCGTGGCGCACTCTCAAACTGACTGGATTTAGCCAACAAACGGCTTAGAGATCGCACCTAAGCTCTGAGCAGTCATGCAAAACACAGGCCATCGTAATATCTAAACTAAATACTCCTTCGCACATAACCGGTTGATGACTAGTCCATGACTCGCCGACTATTAGGCTTCTCCTTTCAACAAATCGTTAGAGGTCTGAAAATCTGCAAAATTTATCGATTATGCAGGTGGATAAACTTGCTCTGACACAAACTACGTTATCAAAAAGTTCTGGGGGGGGGGGGGGGGTTTCTAGGGTGCCTACGGCAATATCATTGAATAATCCTAAGCGGCATCCCTCTGGAAATGGCCATTGTATATCCAGCTTCAACTGATAGAAGCTCGGTGCGGCTTGGGATGCAGGTCACGTTTATCAACGCTTGCGTACCCCAGCCAAGAATGGGATTTAGCAATCCTGGGGAAATCAAAGTCACGGAACAATCTGCATAGAACCCACTTTACCAAGATGAAACCAGTCGATGTCGACTATGGTCGGTTGGCACAGATGCCCGACCATATCATTCAAACCGTCTTTGCCCTTCTACCCAAAACATACATGCCTGCATTCTTTAACTGTCCGGAGTTGAAAGATCTAGCAGCTGCCAGACATTTCTCCAAACTACGAATCTGGGAATCACAACTTCCAGGAAGCAACCCCTACGATCTGATGTCCTTTGAAGAATTTGAAAGCTTCTCCAGACGACCCGAGTTTGCAGATGTCCCTATGAACAAGGGTGTAATCTCAGTGCGAACCAGAGATATCAGAACTCTAGCAATTGAAGCACTTCAAAGGTTGGAGAGCTTCCGACTGCTCAGTGTCAACTGCTACTTCTATAACCGAGACGAACTGAACCAAGCCGACGTTCCGGTTTTTGTAAACGTCCACCGCTTGTTACTCATGTGCTCGTTCGTCGACTGGCTGACGTTTGAGCTACCACCCAACTTGGAACAGCTCACGATAATTGTGCAGCGGGACCCTCTCCCTGTTTCACGCTCTAGACTTTTTCCTCTCTCCTTGCTTTCCGTTCGCTTCGATGGGGTTGATTGTTCGCGCGGCCTTTTGGCAGCGTTACCACCGGCGCTACAGACGTTGGACCTCGAAAGAATGGGAAAGTTCTCAGTTAGCGACTTCAATAAAATGAGGTTTGCGAATCTCAAAGTTCTTTCCTTGGGCAGTAGAAAAGATGTGCCGTTGTCTCTTGAAGGAATTCTGCTACCTCCAACTTTGACCAAGTTCAACGTCTGGAGCGACAAGCTATCAACCATGTCAGATCTTATTCTACCTCCATCATTGAAAGAATTAAAGGTGTGCTGTCCCCTGCTTCATGATTTTGGGTTCGAGTTGATCGAAGGGCTAGAACGTTTGCATATCGTCCAATCTAGCATCTACTCGGCGACATTGGACCGGATAGAGTTTCCCCGGTCTCTAACGTCCTTGGCTGTCAGCAGCAGCTTGCTATCCTCCCTTGCCTTTATTCACCGCCTTCCATGCACTTTAGAAGGTCTCTACCTACCAAACAACTGTTTTGGGATCACTGAGAATGAGGGTATGGCCCTCGAACTTGTCTTTCCCAGGTCGTTGAAGCACCTTGACCTAAGTTCAAACCCAAGTCTCTTTACCAAATACCAGCTACGCCGATTCCTCTTACCTGATGGCCTTTTAGAGCTCGTTCTTTCAAACACGGGGCTATCCAGCATACATGGGGTTGACTTCCCCTCCACTATCAGAACCTTAGACTTGGAGGAGAATCCTCTCACCTCCAAGCGCCCCAGAGCACATACAAGCGCGGGCGTATTTTAATACCGGAACAATTGGACTGGAGTATGGTGCGGTTCGCATATCTCTGCTTTATTAGATTTAGTGATTAAATTTTTGGCCTGGCTGGGTAACAGGGGATTGTAGGATAAGGAGTACTCTATTTCCTCTGAGTGTAGGGAAGTGAAAACTTGAATGGCTTACTGCAGTATAAAATATAATTTTTAACGCAGCTGTGGGTCGAGAGCCAATAAACAAGCTCCCAGAAGTTGTCGGAATCTGATAAATTAGATTGTGAAAACAATTATATTTCATATTTAACCCATAATCTCATTCATAATCTTATTCATAATCTCATCCATAACCTCATCCATAATCTCATTTACATCCTCAACTGTACACCTCAATGCAGGAAACGCTTACATAAGCACCTTATGTTATTTTTTTCCTGACATCTAAAAACGGCACTGATTTGCCCTTACTCGTTACCCATCTACTCAGCACTCCACCATGAGTACCACAAAAAACTTGACGTGGTCGACGGCCCCGTTTGTGCAGCTATACACTCACCTCAAGAACGGTACCAGCGCACCCGGCTTGCTAGAGTCGCTCGCGGCAGACTTGGCCGGGCTTGTAACGACACCGCCCAAAAGCGAAGCTTCCAGAAAGCAGCTCACGGAAACCAAAAAGGTGACAATCAACCTTGATGGCGAAGCCACAGAATACAACCTCAACGAGGAGTTCATTCTCGAGACGGCGCAATTGGCCGAGGAGTTGGGGTTGGACGAAATGGTAGCCGCCAAGGTTTTGCTTTATGCATCCCAGGAATCGCAGGGAACATCCTTCCTCGATAGCGGCAGATTAGCCTTCTACGACAGACGTATGTACATCCTCTATCTCACCTCGTACCTCGTCAACAACCCTGCGCACGTGGAAGCGGCGTTCACCGCGCCGCTGCTCGACACGGTGCTCGCGTCGATGGCCACAATCGAGGCTGAACTTGCCGATGTCAAGCAAAAAATCGCAAAACACGTCCTCTTGGCCAAAAATGGAATCCCCCTCACGGCCGCCGACTACGACACCGTCTTTATGCGAAACGTCCAGTTCAGACGTCTGACCTTGTACAAACAGCACCAGATTTTGGGCGAGATCTTGTACGGCTTGTTCTCCCAGTCCCCCACTCTCAAGCAATTCAACCAGGTACTCGCACACACAGCTACATACCAGCCGAACGATGCGTTTCTCATGCACCATCTTCCCGCATTGCTCGGTTACATCTCGCAGCTCGTGGACGAAGCGGCCGTCGTCGCGCTCTTTGCACAGTTCAGCGCCGCAAAGGACCTCCAACAGCGGCCGTTCGAGGCGTTCATCGTCATGGCATTCTTCGTGCATGCGTTGAACCTTGCACACACACGCCCCGCGCTCCAACCCAAGCTCAAGTACAACGACGTCATTGCCAGCACCCTTGCGGCGATCGGCGCGGGTGCCATGGAGCAGTTCATGTGCGTCGCGGCAGAAATGAGTGTCGAGCCTCCGCACGAGGCATTCTACGACTTCCGCTCCTTGTTGGAGCAGCATATCCCGCGCTTGGTCCCGGTACAGGTGCTCGACGCGGACGCAGCTGCGCCCACCCAATACCTCGCGCGTGCCGCGCACGACCTGTTCTCGCCACAGTTCCTCTTTCTCGTGCTCCCGTTACTCCACGACGTTGTCTACAAATTTGTCAAGAACTGTGCGCCCGTGCTCGTGTATTTGAAAAACTCAGAAGAAGACACTCTTTTGTCGAAGGATGACGAGGACGAGGAGACCGACGTGGTCGATCTCGACGAGTTATCAGAGCGTGCAGACTTGGAGCGTTTCTACCTCGCAGTGCATTACCTCTACGCAAGCCGCCCCGAGCTTTCTGCCGCGTTCTGGAAAAGCTCAGCACCGCCCACCGCCAGCGACACCACTTTCATGGACGACACCACCATGGGCAACATTTCCGTAATACCTGCGGACTCTACCGAGCTCTTTGGCTTCCTCGAGTGGGCCGCCAAGGCAACCACATCCCCGCTCATCACCGCAACCTTCTGTTTGATGGTGGCTGCATTGGCGTCTGGATCGTGCGAGAACGCCGAGCTGGCCTACCGCTTGCTCAGCAGCGCCGCGCCGGATGCAATCACCCTCACATCCATCCTCGGCTCTTTGAAGTACTACCGCAAGGCGTTGCTGCCAGAGGCGCACGATGCGGACCCCGTGCTCGGCGAGGACTCCCTCGTGTTTATCGCGGGGTTTTTGCGGGTGTTGAAGCACATCGGTGCGCACGCAACCACCGGCGTGAAGAACGACTTGTTCAAGAAGTTCGGCCCCGTTTTGGGCCAGTTTTTGCGCCTCCTGTCGCCGCTCCACGGCGGCATCTTCGAGGTCCTTCTGGCAATCAGCAGCGACGACCTAGAGGTCAGATACGACCTCTGGCGTCTTGTGGACGAATGGGTGTTTGAGCACATCCCAGAAGAGAAGGATGCGCCGTTCCGCGCGCCCGAGAAGGCTCGCAACCTCGCGCGTGCGCCTAAACTTTTTCGCGCACGCCTTACTGCGCGCGCCGACGTCGTCGGCTTTGTCGAGTTGCTCGTGAGCCTCTTTGCACCGCGCGCCACGATCCCCACCGAGAAGCTCCGCTTGTCCTTCCCGTACGACTTGGGCGCTGGCTACCGCGCGCCCGGCGTGTGGCCGTACATTGAGTTTTTGCTCTCCGATGTGTTTGTGACGGAGAACGACGCGTTACAGGGGAGCGTGTTGGCGATGGCGGTGGCAAGCTTGGGCGACGTCGACTTCAAGTTTCTCTTGGACAGCGCGCCCGCCGCGTTGCCGGGTGTCAGCCTTGACGATGTGGTGTACCGGGGCGAAACCCTTTCTCCGCTCGGACAGAGTCTGATGCTCCAAAGCCTCCTGATGGTTACCGGCCTGGAATTTCCGCCGACGTTCAAAGCCTTCCTCCAGGCCCACCCTGCCTTCTCCATACTCAACTTTGTGTTTTCCGAAAAGGTCTACGGTGCCCTCTTTAAGCTTTTGAGCGTCGGGGTGGACGGGCTTGATGCGGGCGTGCGGGCGGTGGCGACCGTGCACGACGCATTGCGGCTTGTGATGGGTGTCGTGGAACTTCAGGAAGTGTATGTTGACATAGCGTTGCCAGTGCTCAAGGACGACGTGGACCGCACAGTGTATCTCCCCTCCACGCGCGTGGGCACGCACGGCCTCAAATGCTTTGAAGAGGCATTACTGTTCCACTTGCCAGTCGTGGCGCACGTAGCACTCTACGTGGGCGCGCCGTACGTGGACGTGGCAACCGTTGCGCTCGACATTCTTGCGCGTGCGGCCGCGTCTGCGCCGTTCGTCGCGGACGGTCTCCCGGGTGGACGCATGCTCACGTGCCTCAGCTCGATTGACGAGTCGACCAGGATCCGGTTTGGGTTTATTTCCCAGCTTGAGTCACCCGTCGACTCCGCCGAAAACTACGTGCTCAAGCTCCGTCTCTTGCGCTTTTTGGCCAACAACCTCATGGCGTCGGCGTCGCTCGCACACTTCTTGCTCGGCTTCACGATCAAGACGCCATCGATCCTCACGTTGGGCGCGCCCGACGAACAGGGAACCATCCGCTCTGACGGCTCCGTCCTCAAGAGCGTTATCCAGCTTGTCGTCCAGGCGTTGGGCCCGGTAACTGCCACTAACGTCGACTACGCGCCGGTGCGGTTGGCAGCGTTGGGACTGGAGCTTCTCGTGCGCTTGTGCAAGGACCGCCTCACCGCGACGCTGGTCATGGACTACTTGCGCGAAGCGGATATGTTGTACATGTTGCTCAAGCTTGACGTGAAGCTCGACCGTGCGACGCAGTGGAACGCGCAGACGTTTGATGCAGACTTGGCCTCCGACTTTGCAGCCGCGTCGCCCGGACCAGGTGCGCTTCTCTCATTCATCGGCTGCCGCAACAACATCCTCGCGTACGTGACGATGGAGTTGTACGAGCTCTCGCGCCGTGGCGCGCTCTCACGCTTGCTGGCGTTTGTCACGGACTTGGTGGAGGCCAAGGGCTTCCTCCGCGGCGCGCCAAAGGTGTTGAACTTCCTCGACGTGTTGGAGTTTGGCTTTGACGAGCTTGATACCGCCGCCGCGCGCGAGCTTGGCGCGCGCTACAATGTCGCGTACCTTTTGTCACAAGTTACGCTCCGTGACACGTGCGGCCCCCGCGGCATTTTCGATGTGGCGGTGCTCGAGAACGTGTGCACGTTGCAGATGAAGACAACCGTCGCGCCTGCCGCACGCACCGCGTTCCGTACGGACCTTATGCGGGCAGGCACGCAGTTGTCGGACTTCCTCACGGGCCACCTCGTGGCTGCGGACTTGACACGCTTGCAGCTCACCGCGTTGCATCGCTGGGTGCAGTTGGTCCAGGTTCTCGTGACGGATGGGATGACCACCAGCGCCCGTCTGAACTTTATCTTGGAGGTGTTTCAGTACATCTTGCCCAAGATCAACGACTACTACGAGGTGAACGTGGCCTTTTCTGAGGAACTTGTTTCGTTAAGCGTATACTTGTACGATATATACGAGCGTGACCGTGCCGTGTTGACGGCAGAAGTGGGTGCGGGCACGAACCAGGCCAATGTAGCGCTCAGCGCCGCGCGCATGTTCCCGTTGTTCAAGACGTGTGTTGCGGGAATCGTGTGTGCACAGTCATCGCCGGCGTTGCGCTCGGACTTGTACGTGTTGGCGAACAAGTACTTGAAGAGCGTCGCGGGTAGCGCGGACGTGGTGCACGACTTGCGTCACACGGTCAAGGCGTGTGCGCCCAAGCTCATTGGCGTGGTGTGCAATGACTCTATCTGCGGCGAGGGCGCGCCACGCATCACGTCATTGCTCTTGATGGACTCGTTGTGCCACCTTGCATCGCACGGGAAGCTCAACTTTGTGTTGATGGACATGATGAAGAACAATTACTTGGCGTTGTTGGTGCGCTCCATTGCCCGTACAGACGATCTCATCACGTTGTGCCGCGCGCCGCGCGGTGATAAGCTTTCCGGGGCGCCCGCAGTCGGCGTCAGTGCTGATACGCTCTTGTACGAGCTCACCGCGTTCAAAACTACCTTGTACTTTCTCATCCGCGTCGCCGCGTCCAAGCAGGGTGCGCAGCAGTTGGTGCAGTGCGAGTTGTTCAAGACCATCCGCCGCGCCGCGTTCTTGCGCGTCGATCCCGACTTGGGCGTCGACTTGGTGTTTGACGAGTCCAAGCACGGTGTCTCCGTCAAATTTTCCTTGGACAAGCCGCTAGCGGTTGCCAACGGCATTTCGTACTTTGAGCTTCTCGTACCGATCTTCCAGTTGGTGTCGGCGGTGCTCCTCTCCATGGGCTCGGCCAATCAGCCCGTCATCCAGCAGGTGCGCGAGCTCATGGTGCACTTTGACAAATTGACCGTGGGGGTGCTCAAGCGCGATGCCTTGCTTGAACTGGGCGGACACGAGGAGGAGAGCGTTTCGTCCATGGGGTTGCAAGAGATGGTGAAGTTGTTGGTATTGTTGGCGACGTTGACACATGAATAACTGTGAGCAACCGTGAAGAGGTCTTGCTGCAGACTATTCGAGCTTCTGGTTATTATAATTAAGTGTACATTAAAGCATTCTACTGGCGGTAGCCGAAACAGTTTATCTTACCTTTGTAAAGGGCCAGCATTATGGTCAATATAAAGCCTCGGTGTACTCAGAATAAGCGTAACATTCAGCTGATTTGCGCAAGGGTTTAAAGAGTTTATTATATAATTGGGGGAGATTACCATTCACATGGATTTTTAGACAAGGAGCCGATCCCGCCTAGTGCTAATGCTGCATTAGTGGGGTATTCGATTTGGCTTGAACTACACAGGCAGCATTGATGGGCTGTTAGGTGTCTATATATCCGACAGAGTAGATGCTATCGGCGTCCAACGCTAATTATAATCCCCCCCTCCCTTTACATGTTTAGGACAACCACAGGCCAAACCCGATTTTCATGGGTGTCCAGTAATACCCTGTGTAAAGGTAAACTCCTGTAAGCAGCTAGACCTGTAAGGACATCATAATTATGGGTGTCTGTAGACAACCTGCCAAGGGTATTTTTTTTTAACATAATGGCATGATCACGGCTTGCATCTACATTTCTATTCGGGCCGACGAACAAGAATCCTAAAATGGATGTAGGTTGCAGATACATGGGTGACGTTGAGTAGAAAACTACACCTGGCCCGTTTAGAGACCTAAACGACAAAGCCGACGCGAAAATTACATTCGTTGGCACGACATTTATTGTTAAGTCGGCAATTCTGAACGCGTCTTCCTGTAGGCGTGTCGTTAAGGGGCAGTGTATTGCACGGCACGCCTCGTTGCAGATACGCCGCACGCTTTCCTTCTGGTGTTAGCCAAAGACCATGGGGGTTTGCCTTGTGACAGAGTTTGGTATCTCGCATTTCCGGTCTACCCTCGTTTGCGCGAGGTATAATTGGGGGCTATGGCTCATTCCCATCAGCCTAGACCTAGCAAAGAAGAGATTTGCGCATTCCAGTAGAAACAGCCCTTTTACAGCCGCAGCCTTATTCGGCATGTTCACTGGCCGGTGCCGGTGATTGTGATGGAACCGTGCAGTCTGTGCGTCAAGCATGGAGGATTGAAATTCTGGTATGGCGTTGTCCTTGGAATGACAGTGTTTTAGCAACCGGTCTCTTCTCCCAGCCACCTAAAGCGCGTTCTAACGGGATTATTGACAGATAGCGCCATCCTCGCCATATATTAGCTGATAGTTTAACCCCTATCCTTCGATAGCACCACTAAGCCCAGCCGTGCAGTAATCAAGAGTTTTCCTCGGGCTAACCCATCATGCACAATTCCGAATTTCCGCGTTCATGCCCCATACTTAAATTCTAAGCCACAGCTCCTGCTGCAAATACGCATATGCCATTTATTTCAGTGGGCGCCACATTTATGGGTATCTTTGTTGGCGTAGTGGCGCAACCAAAGACCCATGGATTGTTGGTACGAGACAATTCTCGTCCCCAGCACGTCACCTCGCACGTGTACACGTCACGATACATGTTCTGCAGTACATGCTCCACGGTTCAGCAAGCAAGGAAATAGCTCAATCTCGCCCACACAGCTCTCAATTAACACCCCCAAAAGTCAGCCGTTGGTTTGAGGTCTGAATCTTGGTCATGCTGATATCCAACCAAATACCCATTTTTTGAATTAAGGAGAGTTCTGTTCACCCTGTTTCTTTTCGAGGAATTCGCAGGAGAAAGCAAACACCATCGAGACGTATGCAGCAGGTGGAGCAACGCGACATGCGCATGAAACTAGCATTGCTATCGTACACCGGCAAGATGCATCAGTAAGTTCAATGTCTAACCCGTTTGGGCCTTTATTCGTTACACAGCTCCTGCTTCATTCCCCTTCGCTGGTGAGTCGCATCCCAAAACGAAGCATCCAGAAGGGGAGTATATAAACCCCTGCCGTCCCACCTGCACATGCCCGACTCTTTTCTCAACCCTCAGATTCCCTTCACTTAATCACTACACACTATGAGATTATCTACCGTTACTTTATTGGCCACTGGTGTCGCCGTTGTTGCTGCCGCTGATGTCACTGTCACCTCTACTGCTGCCGTTTCTGCCGCCGCCTCTAAGGCTGACTCTGCTGTCTCTGCTGCCACCTCCAAGGTTGCCTCTGCTGTCTCTGCTGCCACCTCTAAGGCTGCCTCTGCCGTTTCTGCTGCCACCTCTAAGGTTGCTTCTGCTGCCTCTGCCGGTTCTTCTGCCGCCTCCTCTGCCGCTTCTTCCTCCTCCAAGGCTGGTGCTGCTCAGGTCGGTGCTGGTTCCGCCGCTTTGTTCGGTTTGGCCGGTTTGGTTTTGTTGTAAGCTTACAACCCGTTTTTAATTCTTGCTTGGTCTGATTGTATCATGGCCTAAGCTTTAATTGTACAAGTCAAGTTATGCAATACATGTAGTTTAAAGAACCGATAGAGGCCGGTATTCGGGTCTGTTTACGCTGAAATTTTATAAACCAATATATTTATTCGAGCTAGCAAATCAAAATCCATTTGAATTTGAGCCAATCGATGCTGATATATTCTGGTCTCATCTAGCATGTTCTGGTCTCTCATGTGTCACTAATAAACCTAGAGTTCCCTCCTACCTTCGGGGTTACCAAGAACGCTGCTGATCTATAACGGCTTAACAGCTCATCCGGTATAGCTTTGGCTCTGGACTTGGATTGAGTTTTTGGGTGTCTATCTGGCACATGGATGTGGGGACTTTCAGCTACGCTACCACAGCGGCTGAGAAGCACAGCCGTCCTGGTGGTTTTTTTAGCGCACCCTTCCGTCATGCACGCGTGTAGTCAAGTCCAAAGGGTTTGCTTGCTGATACTCCGCCGCAGATCCCTTCTAATAATTGACGAAGCTACATGAAGAAAGGCAAAAAAAAAAATACCATGGGAGGTTGCAATTTAAGTTGTGACAGTTCGCAGCGGGCTCCAATTGATGCCGTATGGGAATCTCAAGACCTGAAACTTGATACGACCCAGTAACGGTGCTGGATCACTCTACTGCGGTACACATAGAGCTTGGCATACCGCCTACACGAACTTTCATCCCTGACACGGCGGTGGTGCTGGGTATAAGACATGGTGACGCATTGCTGGTCGCGTAAACATGCTCGGTCATACATCCCTGTTTATACCATACCTGGCACGCTTGGTTTGAAATATCGAGGCATAGCTGATAAACCCCCTATTCCTGGCACATCTCCCGGAATTTCATTTATGGCTAATCCAGCTAATCACGAGAACAATAGGGATTTTGCAGCCATCCTGTAAGCTAGGTTTGCGCGAGTGCACCAGCAGAGCAAGGCTGCACTAGATGCGAGCCACAGGCGCTAAATGTATGCATCTCGAGCTGAAAAAGGAGGGTACTTGGAAGATTCCAACATGGCATGCCCTCCCCGCACATAGAATCAGTGCGCCGCACGAAATCTTTTGTTAGACGGAGCTATACCAATTTCAGCTGGGCCTAATGTGGTTTGAAATAACGCGTTGCTGATTTCCAGAGATCAGAACCTTTAGGCAAAGGCTCAATTGCACCAAAACACACTTCAAACCTCTTTTAGCGGCATTTTTTCTTTCTTTCTGTGTAGCTCTAGAAACCTCGTCACACGTGTACCGGAATAAGACAAAGGACCGTTCAATCAATGCCTCACCCGGCTGTGTTGATATTGCAAGCCCTTGTTCTTTATGCAAGATACCCCTTCCATAGTCGATGCATAGACGCCTGCACCATTGCTGTTTCTATTTCATTCCCGTCCCACACCCAAGCTCTGGACATTGACTCCCATTCACGTTTCCTGGAATAACTGGGTTCGTCTATCCCGGTCAAGATGGCAGTTGCGCTTGCTACGCGTCTATAAATATTCGGACGCCTCCCCTAAGTGGGCCTCTACGTAGTTTTCTCACGCCCCTCCATATCAATATAAAATGAGAGCTTCCACCGTTTCTGCCGCTACTTTGTATGCTGCCTCGTTGGTCCTTGCTATTGGAGACACCTCTGACCCAGACGCTAACCCATGCTACATCACCGCTTTCGTAGATGACTTCAAGGCTCACATGGGCGATTACGCTCCATACACCAACCAGATTCCAGCCAACTTGTTGAGTTTCGCTATGATGGCCGAAACCTACACCGACAACTCTTACACCACCTTGTTGGGTGACAACTTCGACTACGCTGAGGTTGAGTCTGTCGTTACCTTATTCCCCTTCTACTCCACTAGATTGGCCCCAGCCTTGGAAGCTGGCTCCTACCAGTGTAACCAGGCCCGCAAGAAGGCCAATGCTGCTTCCGCCGCTGGCGTGTACACCACCTACACTACCGAAATTGACTCAACCGCTGCTAACGGTGATGTTTCAAAGGAAACCGTGGTTGTTATTGTCACCTCTGATTCTAATGGTTCTTTAAGTACCACTACTTCAGACGTGGCTGGCGGTCCTTACACCACTTACACCACTGGTGTTGCTGTCACTGCCGCTAATGGTGACGTTTCTACCGAGTCCGTAGTTGTTGTTGTCACCTCTGACTCCAATGGTTCTTTGACCACTATTACCGAAGGCGGTAGTGGTTACACCACCTACACCACCGAAATTGACTCTACTGCTACTAACGGTGATGTTTCAAAGGAAACCATGGTTGTCATTGTCACTTCCGATTCTAACGGTTCATTGACCACTATCTCCTCCAACGCCGGCAGTAATGGTGAAACCACCTACACTACCGGTGTTGCTGTCACTAACTCCAACGGTGATGTTTCTACCGAAACCAAGGCTGTGGTTGTAGCCACCAACGCCGGTGGCTCTTTAACCACCTTCACCACCGATGCCAGTGGTAATGGTAACGGTAAAACCACCTACACCACTGGTATCGCTGTTACCAACTCTAACGGTGATGTTTCTACCGAAACCAAGGCTGTGGTTGTAGCCACCAACTC